TGTGGGCCCCCAGGGCTGTTCAGAAATGCAGCGACGACGTGTACGCCATGGTGCACCCATACGATGACAGTTTGATCAAATATTTGTTGCTCTGCTCTGGGGAGGAATGCCCCAAGTCGACGGCCAGGCCATCTCTCGCCAACGCTCCTGGGTACAAAGCACTTCTTGCTGCGAGGAACGACCTCCTTCGTGAAGATGCTGCACCTATGCGCAACCCCCCGCGGCGCCTCTTTGCTCAGAGGAGCAGTCCGAAGCGGAGGCCCAAGCCAAAGCGTAAATCACGCCAAAAGATCAGGGCCCAGAAAGAGGGGCCGCCCATGGTGATGGACGTCGAATTGCCCTCAGTCGGCGACGCGTCCTTCCCATCGGTCAAGATGCTGCCCCCAGTCAGGGGCACCGACCACATGTGGGTCAACGCTTCCGACGACTCCATCTGCACGCTCGTGCAATACATCTTCGCGCACGGCGTCACGACCGCCACCGTCACATCAAAGAGGTCGAATTACAAGAGGGACGGCGCCGACGATGAGGATGAGGATGCCAGCGCGCTGCAGGACAAGAGTGATCACGAGGTCAACGATAGCGATGCACGTGACCGCGCAGATGCTCCAAGTCGCGATTGTTAGGATCACGCGGCCAATGTTTCACATCGGCACCTGCCAGCGCGCACCAGCAATTGTTCGCATATAAATAAAATGCACAGAGGTATGCAGCGTTGCTCCGTTGTTTTGCGCATGCCTGTCTTCAGCGATACGTTGCTCGACATTTGCAGTGTCAGATACGCTCACCGCATGTTTGCCAAGCTTGGCCATTAATCTGCTTGCAGAACCTCCACCTCCTCCTTGAGTGCACCCTCGCCGCATTGCCGTTTGTGTCCCAGCCTTTCGCGGCTATAGCTGCACCAGCCTGCGGCGCCGCGGGCCTGCCGAGGCCCCCGCGAGCCCCTCGAGGCACCCGCGGCCCCCTCGAAGGCTTCAGGGGCCTGCCGAGGCCCCCGCGAGCCCCTCGAGGGCTTCAGGCGCGGCCCCGCGTTCGGGCGCTCGACGCCATGCCGGCTGCGCGCGAGCTCCTGGCAGGGCCAGCGCCACCAGCAGCTGATGCTGGCCAGCAGGGCGACGCCCAGGAGATTGCACACGGTAGAATTTATCAACCCGTCCGTCTTCGCCAAGCTTACGCTGATTCGTCGTGCGCCGATCGCGGCCCACGACGAGGCAGCGCGAGCGTGGACTGCACAGACGGTGGCGCGCTGGGCGCGCCATCGTTGCAGCTCCCACTGCAAAATCAGGCCCCGATGGGCCTCGTGGAGGGGGCTTGCACGCCCCAACCTACCGGATTGTTTCTTTTTTTGGTCGGCCTCCGCCGAGGACGACGCCAAGGCTGCCAAGCGTGCCAAGCCGTCGCGGCCGCGCAGCATGGACTTCCAGATGCTGCTCACCGCGACGGAGGCGCGCAAGGGCGAGCGCGTGGCCAAGTTCGCGGACAGCCTCGCGTTCAGGAGGTTGCAGGGCAGCAACGAGGACGCCAACGACGGCCTGGTGCAGTGCCTGCAGGGCGTGTACTACAAGGTGGGTTACGTGAACGGCTCGCCGATCTATCGGCAGGAGCCTGGCGCGCCCGACGGGGCCAACACCAGCGAGCTCTTCTTGGTGTACATTGTGCATGCGGACGAGGAGCACACCTTCTCGCGCTGGGTGGTCTCCAGCACGTTGGACGTGGGTTCGATCTTGTACTACCCCGACGGCTGCGTGTACGCCAGCGGGATCGGCGACCAGACGACGTGGCCGACCGAGCTCGTCAAGGCCAGGGGGCGGGCGGGGGAAGGGGTGGGGGAGATTGAATTTTGCAGTGCGCCTGCAACAGCGGTTGGCCTACGACGGCCCATGGGGACGACTGGGCCCATATAGGGCTCGATGGGCTATCGCCCCCCCTCCTACTCCTCCGCCTCCTCCTCCTCCTCCTCTTTCTCATGCCTCCCCTCTTCATCTTTTTTCCTTCAGCCTCGTCCAGCTTCCTCCTCCCTCCTCATGCCCTTGTCTTTCCTCCCTCCTCTCCCCTTCCTGCTTCAGGGCAGATGCGTTTGTGACCCCGCTGCCCCCTTTCCCACGGGCGGGAGGCCGTCGCGCGTGGAAAAACATACCATTGCCGACCAAAACGGGCCATGCAAACAACACGTTGTTTTTCGTATTTTGTGAGATCGCGTTCTGGCGCGTTCGGTGTGTTTTTCCACGCGCGACGGCCTTCCGCCCGCGGGAAAAGGGGGCAGTGGGATCACAAACGCACGCTGGCTCGGCGGAGGGCTGGCGACAAAGAGGGGCGGGGGGGGGGGGGCAACCGTCAAACCGAAGAGGGGGGGGGGGAGCCGCCAAACCGAATCTCGGGCGGCCAAAGAAGGGATGGGGAGCTGTAAGGGAAGGAGGACGAGGAGGAGGATGAGGAGGAGGGCGACGAAGGGGATGATGATGATGAGGAGGAGGAGGAGTCGCCCGAGGGCCTCACGGATGAGCCGCTGCACTTCCTCGAGGTCGTGCACTACGCCGAGTTTCTCGAGAAGATGCTCGACGAGCAGGCCGCAGCTGCGGCAGCGCTTGCGCCTGCGGCTGCGCCTGATGCAGCGGCGGCTGCAGGGGGCGGCATCATCAGGGCGCGGCCTGCTGCGAAGAAGCAGCCGAAGCCGCCATCGACGCCACCGCCCTCGGCGCTCGCGCCGCCGCTCCCGCCGCCGCCCGCGGCGCCCGCGCCGATGGGCCGCCGCTGCAACAAGGGCTCCGTCAGCGGCGAGCAGGTGCGCGGCGGCTGGCCGGCGACGCCCATGCGCTTGGCGGACAAGTACGCCGCCGAGGACTGGGCAGGGTGGGACGCAGTGATCGCGGCCATGGCCAGCGGCGAGATCCAGAAGGGCAGCGGCTGGTTCGCCGACCAGGGCGAGAAGGCCATCGAGGCCTACAAGAGTGCCGACTACGACACGGTCGAGCGCACCTTGGCCGAGGCCCGCGAGCGTTTCGACTCGAAGGGCCAGGGCAAGGGCAAAGGCAAGGAAAAGCCCAAGTCGGGCCGATTTCCACTTTGAGAAGCTGGTGGGCGTCTCCGAGGCGCTCTCGTTCCTCTATGAGGTGATGGGGGCGCTGCTATGAGGCACGTCGGCTTCGCAGCTGACAATGGCCGTGGGTGAACCACGGCGGCGGCGCCCACGTCACTTCAAAGTGTGATCACATTGTGAAGTGTGTGGTCGGCCTCACTTGGAAGTGTGATCACACTTTGAAGCGCGATGAAACCTCACTTCAAAGTGTATTCACACTTTGAAGTAACAGGATATGCGCTTCGAAGTGTGATCGCACTTTGAAGTGACGCCGCCTCCGACTTCAAAGTGTATTCACACTTTCAAGTGTTGTTCTGCGCCCAGGCTCGTGCAGAGCATAAGAGGTAGACTTGGCTGAGCGCAGGCTCTGGGGCAGCGCCATGACGCGCTGCCGCCTGCGCGGTTGCCACACATTCGCGTGGCCTATAAAAGGCCGCGCGCGATCCCAGCGGGATGATCGACCGCCCGTGGATCTGTGAACCACATCTCCCTCCGCCTCGTGCGTCTTGTCTCCAGCCGCCCTCGCTCCCTCCGCCACAGACTGCATCGCCCTCCGATGCAGTCCTCATTCTCGTTACAACGCTTGTTGCATCGCCTCCCGCTGCTCTCCGATTCGCCAGATGTTCCTGAGATTGTGCATCATGTTGCTGCCCATTGCTTCCCTCTGACCGCCCGAAGGCTGCAGCCCACTGCGTTCGCGCCCGACGGCAATGTCTGCAGTCTACTGCATTAGCGCCCGACGGCAAGGGCTGCAGTCTACTGCATTCGCGCCCGACGGCAAGGGCTGCAGTCCACTGCATTCGCGCCCGCGGGGTGGGGATGGGGAGCTCCTCGCGCCCCCTTCGCGATGGCGCCGAAGGCGCGGGCTGACGCGGCGGCGCCGCCGCATGTGCCGCGGGCGCTGCGGCCGAGCGAGAAGGAGCAGATGAAGGCCAAGATCCGCGACCTCACGAAGAGTCGCAACGAATGGAAGGAGATGGCTCTCGGCCTCAAGCGCTTCGTCGAGGGCGTGGCCAACAAGTCGGAGCAGAACAAATACGCGAAGCAGGTCTTCGTCGATGTGAGGCGCCTGTGGACTGGCTCGCGCTCCTGCGCCACGCAATCGAAGCCGACGTCGCTCGGTCGGCTGCAGCGCCTTCATGATATGCCAGAGGTCATGACTGCGCCGACCTCGCGAGCACGTCGTGCCTGCGCAGCCAGTTGCACGAGGGCGGGGCGCACGGGAAGGTCATCGCGCTGCGAGGTGGGCGCGCCCCGCACCAGGCGGGGCGCCGTCTTTCTAGGGGGATGATGACGGGGGCGAGGAGGAGGAGGAGGAGGAGGGGGAGGAGGATCAGGAGAAGGAGCAGCACGGCCAGGACGGGGGGGGGAGGGGGGGAGGAGGAGGGGGAGGGGGAGGAGGAGAAGGGGGAGGAGGAGGAGGAGGAGGCGGAGGAGGATCGATGAGACGGATCTTGCCGAGCGATCTTGCCAAGCGAGCGCGGAGTTCCAGCCGCGCGCTTCTGCGCTAGACAAATATTGCCTTCCACCGCCACAGCGTTTCGTTGCCTCGCGTTGTGATCCAGTTGCGGCGCTTCCGATGCCATGCCCCTGGCCCGCGCTCGCTGTTCGAACCAGGTTCAGCTGCGAGTCTGACCCGCAAGCCCCCCGAACGGAAACGCATCCACGCAGCCAATCGGCTTGGCACGCACATGAGATTGATGCCTTAAACCGACATCATGATGTTATCCCATCTGCGCATTACCATTTGCACTCTGTCATGCATGCGATGCGCCCTGCGCAAGTTGTGACGACCCATGTAGTCGTTCATGTTTTCTCTTTGTCAATTGCGATCGGCATTCCATGGCCGTGTTCGGATCAAGCCTCGAGGGGCTGCAGGTGCTGCAGGGGTTCAGGGTGCACCGCGCGGCGTCCGACTATCGAGGACATAACGCGCGACGTTTCTGACTTTTCGGACTTGTTGGCGAAGCGCCCCGACAGCGAGGAGCTGCCGAAAAACTTGTCTGCATCCCTGTGCACTCGCATACAATCATTCACAGCGCTTTCAGCGCCAGATGCTATCGTCCTCACCGAGTTGATTGAAAAGAAGTGCACGGTAGCCTCCGTGAAGCGCGCAGTGCTGGCGGCAGTCGATATCAAGGTCGCCAACATCGCTGCAGCGGTCCCAAGTAGCATCAGCGATGCTGGGGATCAGACGCTTTCCCACATATACAACTACCTGACGGGCAAAGATTGGATGGCCCTGGAGGACTACAGAGCGCCGGAGACCAAGAAAATGGCCATCCTTGCAACACGGTTGCATCGTTTGGGGATCTTACAGCCAGCGCACGATAAGTGCTTGAAATGGGCAATGGTAGTATTGATTTGGTGCGAGCATGGGAACACCAAGTCTTGGCCTAGCTACCAGAGCATCTACAACAGCTTTCGCGATTTGGTGGGCCACATGAAAAAAACACATCGGCCCCATTCACGAAGTCGACACTTACGACGCATCCCGAGCGCCCTGCGGATTTGCCCGCATCTTTCTGCTTATGATGATGACGACCCGCCCGTCGAGAAGTTCATCGACTTGCACGCCTTCCTAGGCAAGCACATCCCGCTGCGCGACAACAACATATTGCTCAAGAAAGAGCGGGCTGGCTGTTGGCAGTCGTCTGACTTTACCCCGCTTCAGCAGGATCGGCACGGTGGTTGGCACTCGAGCTGGGGCGGCAACTCTGACTTGGATAAACTGGCCGCTCAGATCCATGGTTTGTACACTGCAGGGCAATCGGGCGCTAGCTCTGCTCACGCGCCAGCCGCGTCGTTCAAGCCAGGCAAGAGCATCGTTGCAGGCGCAGCCCCAGCCGCAGATGCAGCTCGCGCTGCAGAGCCCAAGGTCGCAGCACTTCCACTCGGCGACGGTGAAGCAGCTCCTGCTGATGGTGACGCAGCTCCTGCGGCGGGTGACGCAGCGCCCACTGCTGCCGGCGCAGCGTTGGCTGCGGATCGCGTCGCGCAGGGGGCGCGCGAGAAGCAGGCGTTCGACGCTTTGGCGACGAAGGGCAAACGCACAGCCAAGGAGAGGCCCGCTGCTGCAACGGATGTTGCAAAGAAGCCAGCGGCGGCCAAGAAGAGGCCCGCTGCTGCAACGGGCGTTGCGCCCGCCCTGAAGAAGCCCGCTGCAGCGTCGTGGGCGTCCAAGGGCGGTGCCTTCAAGATCGTGTTTGAACCGTGTGGCGGCCAGTGCACGCAGAATGCGGTCGCTTCCAGGTGGTGCGGAAGGGCGCTCAAGTGGGCCAAGGCAAACGGCCGCACCGAGAAGCAGGCGCTCGACGATGCAAAGGACGCATACAGGTCGGCAAGCGAGATGTGGAGGAGCAAGAAGAACGCTTGATATATGTCAGATATGTCGAGCATCAGCACTGATTGGATGCGTGAGCTGACGGGTCTCTATAAATGCACTATATGAGTATAGAGTATGGGTTGTGCGTCATTGCTCGCATCTTGTTCCTTCGGAGCTTTGCGAACCGATCACCGCTAGCGTACATATGAGAACACAATGTATCGCATGCCATGTGCCTTGCCTGCGCAATTGGGCGCGTCTCTCCGCGTGCTTACGCGTCGGCATTTGCGCGTGCAGCGCGCGTTCCGCCCATCGCTGCAGCACCCCCTGCAATCGCGCCCGTGGCGCGGCCTTCGGGCTTGCAGCTGCGGCTGCAATGTTGTTTGTGTGGTTGCACATCGCGGCATTCCATGGCCACGCTCTCAGGGGATGTGATCGGCGGAGGGGTCCGTTCTCAGACGGGGGACGCATGGGGGCGGTGGAGGGAAAGGGGGAAGGGGGGGGGGTGCATGGGGCAGCGGGGCACATGCGGGGAAGCATGGGCGAGGTGAGTTCGGGGGGGGGGGCGGGCGCATGAACAGCCGATGCAGTTATGACTGCATGTGCAATTCAGGCAGCACGCATGTGCACTCTGCAATACTGATTGCAGTTTTGATTGCATGAGCGCACTCAGTTGCAACTGCAGGATCTCTGCATTCACAGATGCGTTCAAGCACGCGCGCCCGATTGCATGACATGCGTTCAGAGGTGCAGGTGATTGCGCATGCCATGCGCACGCTGTTGCCATGCAATCCTTGGTGTGATCGATGAAGTGCTGCGCGCAGGTGACTGCAACGGTGACTGCGCCCGCGGTGCAAGCACCCTTTTTCAAATGATGGGTCGCATGTGTGTCGGGTCCCCCATATTTCCTACGCAAACGCATGCGCTTCTATGCGCCATTGTCGCGCCAACACCCATGCGCGCAGTTGCCGTATATGGCTCGAGGGCGGGCTCGCGGTCGCGCTGCTCATGGTGCCCAAACCTGACAAGCACCAGAAGATAGAATCATTGAGGAGGAAATGTCCGCATGCATCTGCCGCAGCACTGGCTGCAATCTTGGACGAGGTCACGTGGAAACCCTTCTCAGCATCACGGAAGGATACCCGTGATGCTGGAGATTCGGTCATAAACCAATCGACTCCTTATGGTACCCTGTTCCGCGAGACCACTTGCTCTGCCGAGGATTCCGAGATTGAGTTTCCTGTTGCCAATCTCCCTGCAATATTGTACGTGGCGCACAACCAATGCAGCAACTGGCGGGCCCTCATTCAGAAGACTTTGGCGGCGAGGCCGTGCTCTTTCGAGCGACCGTGGTCGCTGATATTTTATTCTGGTGAGGCAACACCAGGCAACCAATTACCCCCAGAGAATTCAAGGAAGATGTGGATGTTCTACGTATCGTTTCTAGAACTGGGGCCAGAAGTGTTGTCGCAAGAGGATGCGTGGTTCTGCGTAGGCGCCCTGAGGTCAAAACGTGTATCCGATATAGATGCAAGCGTCGCACAGGCGTTCAAAATGCGTATAAAAGACATGCGTTGCAGGTCGGGTTGCTCGCTGCACACAGCGGGCGTTTCATTGGAGCCTGGAGCCAGGTTACATTGCAAACCTGGGATGGTTCTCCAGGACGGCGGCGCCCAGAAGTTGGTTTGGCTGGTTAAAGGAGGTGCAGGTACAAAATGCTGCATGCTTTGCCGCAATGTAATTGCGATGGACAGCTCTCTGGCCGACGAAGATGGGGTGACCCTGCTGAGAGCAGACGTCATGCGTGAGGGTGACATCGATTTTGCGACGAATGATGACATCAGGGGGAGCGCGCGGCGGCTGGCTGCATTCCACGCGACGGACACCAACGCCAATTTCAAGACCTGCGGGGGGCCTGCAAACTCAAAGGAGGGAGTATGACCTATAGGGCGATGAAGGGTGGGAAGATGATGAAGGGGAGGGGGATTGGAAGGGGAAGGCGAGGATGACGAGTGTGGCCCCAGGATCCGCGAGCAAGCGTTCGGTTTCAACCATAATGAGCAGAACATGCTGCTCGATCCACAGCTGGATCGCATTATCTTACCTGTTGACCAGTATTGCCACGACTGGACGCACGCATTATTTATTCTGTGTGTTTATAACATGTCGACGCATCTCTTTCTTGCAAGTGCAAGAGTAATGGGCTGTCCAACGTATACTCATGTTTCGAGGAATACATCAAGATGTGGTCACTGCCCATCGCGCACGGCAGCGCTGATAACTTGGCTAAGCTTTTTCAGAAGGGCCGCGATACTTCCAACGGCAAGGCGAAAGCGTTTAAGTGCCACGCGATTGAGGCATTGACTTTGCTGCCAATAATGTATACGTATGTGATGACGGTTATATTGCCTGCAGGGGTAGCACGCGCGGAGTGCGCCGCTTTTGTTCGGTTGTGTGAGTTGGTGTGGCGCATCGAAGCTGCAGCATCATCCCGTGCGTTTGCTGACGCTCTCAGGAACAGGACGAACGCGTTTCTGGATGCTTGTGAAGCAGCAGGGTGGCAGGAACACATGACGCCGAAGTTTCACTGGCTGGCCCATTTCCCAAGGCACCCGATCAAGTTCGGATGCCTCCTGTCGTGGTTTGTGCACGAGAAAAAGCACAGAGTGCCCAAGCGGTTCTGCAATGATATGCGCCAGCTGGCAGCTTCTGAGAGGAGCGTGCTGTCCGAGGTCACACGCCTGCATTTGGAAAATTTGCGCAGCACCAACGTGTTCGACTTCTCGCCGCACTTGGTGCGCCCCAGGGCGGCACCTAAGAAGATGCACGCCTTCCCTGAGGAGAAGCTCGGCCAGCGCCTCCCCAGGGACAGCACGACCACGGCCTTTTTCGGCTCGGGTGTCGACGTTGTCGACATGCCAATCCCACGACATCGCGCTGCTCTCCGTTGCCAACGGGGGCAAGGCGTGTGGGAAGGTTTGGTTTCACGCTGCTGTAAACGGAACGATGGCATCGCTGGTTTCAATCTGGGACACCCCTCGCTACGATGATCGGCTCGGCGCGCTGACCGTGCACCCAACCGACGACGACTTGCAGCTGGTGCACACGACCGACATCAGCACTGCCATGACGGGGCGTTTGCCAAGTTTCCGAACCATCACCACCACTATACGGGCGTGCCGTCTGCAAGCAACTGTCCGCTTTGCACACGTGCAATTGTGAAAAATGCATGGTGGACATCTGCGATGTGAGACGTCCGTTGTGGTTGGAAAGGTTCGAAGACTTGCAAGGCATGCAGGCGCCATGGAGGCGGATCAATCGCGATAGTGCCTCCCATGTTCAAGTGGTGAGACATCGCGCGAGCTGCCACCTGCTTTCTTATGCGCAGCAGCGCAGGAGGAAATAAAAGAAAAGAAAAAAAAATGGGGGGGGAGGGGGGGGAAAAAAAAGAAAAAGCTTTCCAATGCAGGCGTCGCTCGCCTTGCGCATCGCGCATGGAGAAAAAACGGGAGCTAGAAATGCAGTGGCTGCACGTCAACATGCAAGTACTTGCAACTACTTGCGTTCAGTTAGCGCAACTTGTAAGTTCCGAAACCAACTTGCTAAATCTGCTCAATCTTATAACCACCCAAGTTCACCACAGTGGTGCTCCAGGATGTGGACGAGGCCAGACGGCATGCCCAGCCGCCGGAGCGCGCGCGCCACCTGACCAGGGAGGACCCGGTCAAATGCGAGAGAGTAATCCCAAGATGTAACAAAGTGATTATGTTCCAAGTCCATGCCAATGCCATCGGCCGCCTGCCATGCGCAGCCGCCTTTCTTGGCGCCGAAAGCCCGGGTGTGCCGCCATGCCTGCTGCCAGCGCTGGCAGTCCCTGCCTCTGACTCGAGCCACCGGCCACGTGCGATACCACGCGCTGAATGCCGAAATGGGCCGGAAGCTGTCTGCAGGGAGCTGCAGGTGCTCCCCGGTCGGAGCCTTCTTGGGGACGTGCACCTGCCGCGCCTCTGTCCAGGCGGCCGGGAAGGCAGCGAGGCTCTCGAAGGTGTTCAGCAAGTGGGCGACCGCTTCTGCAGCGAAGCGGGCCTCATGCACCTCTACGCCGGTCCATCCGTCAGGCCCAGCCGAGTTTCCTGTGAGCCGGCCCGTGGCCTCGACGACCTCGAACTGGTCCAAAGGGCTCCACGTCTGCTCAGGCAGGTCCGGGAGCCACTCGCCCAGCTTTGCCTTCCAGTCGGCCTCGCCCGGCAAGGCCCCGCCGATCCCAAATTGCACGCCACCGGCTCTTGAGGAGGTCAAGGCACTGCCCGCTGGTCTGCGCAGCCGCGCCGCCTGTGGCGATGACGACGTTCGCCGGCACGGTGCCCTTGAGCCAAGTGTTGGCTGCTCCGAGGCCCTGCATCTGCTTCTCCCATGCTGCCAGGCGCTCGGCCTTGGCATCGTCTCTGGCACCCTGGAGGGAGCCCTCCAGTTGCCCGGCCAACCGGCGCAGATGGGCCAAGCGGCTGGGCAGCGGCGGCTCGCGCCCAGGAGGGGCGAAGCCCTCGCGGCGGGCCGCGGCGGCCAGCCTGGCGCGCAGTTAGTCGGCCTCAGACTGCGCCCCTCTGCCTCTCTCCTCCGGCCAGAGGAGCCGGCGCACGCGCGCCAAGGTGTTCGCCAGCCGGCGCTCCTTGAAGGTAAGCTCCGCGTGGTGTTGGGAGCATGCCCTCCGTGTGGTGTGCCGGAGCCGGACTGTGCCTTTGGGGGCGCGGTGTTGCCGGCGCTCCCTCTGGTAGCTTGCCCATAGCCCGTCGGTAGGCGGTTCGGGGTTTTCCGTGGTCTCGGAGGGCTCCTGGGGCGGGCGCCACTCCTCTGCCAGAGCTTCGCCGGCCTCCCTCATCAACGTAGACAAGGCGCCTTCGAAAGCAGCCCACGCACGGTCGACCCAGTGTTGGGCCTCCTTTGTGCCCGGCTCCGCCTCCGCCGGGAGGGTCACGAAGTGATCGTGCCACGAACAAATTGGGCGGTGCCG